ATATGTATCTTTATTCATTTACAATAAACTCATAAAGTACATCATTCTGATTGAAGCTAAGGGCATACAAAACTGTCTAACAATCCGGACTCCGGAGTTACATAAAACTCACCATATGATTGCCAAGTTTGGACTTCCAATGCAGCATCCTTGTTCAAAATCTATTTGTAGTTCATGTCAAATGGAAAAAGACCACAAGTTACCATTTACAATATTATCAGTCTTGGTCCATTTCTCCTCTTAAGTTAGTATATGCAGATGTTTGGGGCCTAACCCCACTATTATCCAATAAAGGATCACGCTATTATGTACTGTTTGTTGATGATTATTCTTAATTTTCATGATTCTATCTTATTTTATAGAAGTATAAGGTTATTAATATATTTATTCATTTTCATGAGCATACTGAGACCTTCATTCACTCCTTGCTTCTAAACCAAGAACTTTGTAAACAAATTGGGGAGGAAAACTTCATACTCTCCATGCTCACTTGACAGTTATGTATCTATGCTTGTGTATGCCTTGTAATCACCCACATGGACACCATCTATTGGAAACATGAGAGCGGTGTCTAACCCTTTTCCTCTCCCCATTCAAGTCTTACCCGAATTGGTTTAGCCAATTCCTCAGGCTTAGAGTCGCTGTAAATAAAAAATGATTTCCAATACAATTTTTGAAGGTCCCATCACTTTCATTTCCTTCAAATGATAGGTATCAATTCCATATCAATCCAAGTGAGTTGTTTTTGGATAATCACATAGGATCTTCACAAATTTGAATACTTTTGTTTTATAAAATAGAAAGCAACTTCCACACCAGCAAAATTGTATTACTTTTGTTGACATAAAAGCTGTTTTCTGCTTTTTTTTTTCTTTTAAACAAAACCATTCGTGAACACCCCCAAAGTTGTTAATCAATAATATAGTAAATTACAAAGACCTCCTTATACTATCGGGTCAGTAACAATTACCCCTTGAACTTTCATTTGCAACAAAAACCCCCTTGTCCTTGAACTTCGATTTTGCAGCAAATACCCCCTGTGTGAGTTCCGCCAATTAGCTTCTAAAAAGATTCATTCATTAGTTTAATTTTTTAAATCCCCAAACTATCCTTTTCTTATTTATTTGAATGATTTATGATTTGATTAATTTTCTAAATATAATATTGAAGTCCACTCAATTTCTCCAATAAATCCTTGTAGATTTTTGGTTGTATTCAATTTTCAAATGAAATGGTAGAGATTTCTTTTTGATAGATATAAATTTAAAATTTTGTTTAATTTTTCTTGGAGAAAGGAGTGGATCATTTTTATATTTTAAGATGAAGAGAAGTTTCAAGAAACTTTGTTTTTCTATGTTAGTGAAATGATTTTTTATTTATTGTTATTTTAAATGGTTTCATTTAGAGAACATAAAGGCATTTATGGATCAATTAGGGTTTAGGAGAAAAAATAAATATATAATAAAACACTAGAAATATATTATAAATATATATTTATATATAATGCATAGCAAATATATATATATTTATATATATAATGTATATATAATACAAATAAAATATATAAATATATGTATACTAGTCGGTTTGGTTAACCAAAACTGAACCGATACCATTGGTTTTTTTAAAATATCGAACTGACCGATTTGGTTAACCAAATTTTCAGTTCAGTTTCGGTCGATTTTCGGTTTTTCTTGCTCATCCCTAGGGGGGTTCATTGTAATTTACCCTAAATAATGACTCTTGAATGAGCTCCTAATATCATTTGAGAATTGAGATGGCGAAGAGAAAGCTAACTTGAGAGTAGAGACTATAGCATTGAACATCACAACTCCCTGACCTGCCAGTAGCCACCTTACGATTGATGAACCAGTTTCGATCAAGGAATAGGGTTTAAAACTTCAGACCAAAAAGAAAAAAATAGTTCATCTGATGTTTGGAAGCTTACAAATAGCAATACAGAAAACAGGATTATGACCCAATCACAAGGTGGCCCACCACTTGAAAGGCCTTGATCAATAACATTGACCACGTTTAAGGTGATGGAGTCTGAAGGGATAGCTAATACACACTCCATGATCACATTTACACCACCACAACTACGAATATGTAATCATAAGTGAGACCAAATACCTAGGTTATGGATTAGATCCAAGTCACTCTACTCCCAAACCGCCTCCCAATTGAAAGCTGCAAGAGTAGGGGTGTAAATGGATCGAATTCGAATCGGATCAGATAATATCTGAATTTAAACCCGATTAAAAAATCTGATATCTGAATTTGATTCGATATCTGACAGATATTGAAAATTAATATTCGAATTCGAATCCGATTAAATATTTGAATATTCGATTCAATTGGAATTCGATTAATTAAATTTACAAAATAAATATTTTATTAATATAAAATATATAAATATATAAATTATTTATATAACTTAATTATTATATATATAAATTTTATAAAATATTTTATATATTATATATAAGATTTAAATAATCGGTCAAATTCAGATATTTATCGAATCGAATCAGGTCATATCCGAATTTGAATCCGATTAACTATTTGGTATGAATAGAATATACGAATTCGACCGATTAAATATTCGAATTATTCAAGTTCGATTCGATTATATTGAATATCAAATTTAAAATCGAATTTTCGAATATCATTTACACCCCTATGCAGGAGTACCACAAAGTTCGAGTTAAGCAAGCATCTATGAAATATTTATCAAAATAAAAGGATCATTGATAAGCAAGAGATAAATTCATTAACTAGATAAATACAATTATACAATCAACATACATACAAGACAATTTTCTATGCATTGGAAAGAGAAAATGGCAAAAAAGTTAACTATGAACAGTAAGGAATCCAGCCTTTTCAATTGGCAATGCACAAACTAACACCATTTACCTCCATATACACCATCTTTCTAATTAATGGCTGACACTCCATAATACATGTGCAAAATCCCTTTGCTAGGTGGAAACAAGTACTGCAAAATGGCCCACCAAAAAGAAATTTCCTTTGCTTCATGAAAGATCAGATTTTAGCCTCACCTACAAATTTCATGCTGCAACAAGAAACCATCACCAAATGCTTCATCATGATCAGGCTCCATTCTTGACATCTTGAACCATTCGATATGTGAGATTAAGTCTTATGTCAGTTCCCACAGAAATCCATATATATTACTGCCAACCCATCACAGGATTCTATCCTAACTTACACTGTATGCCCAGCTTTCTTACATCTAGTGCCTGCAAAAAGGAAAAGGCATCTCTCTTAAGCACAATAAGCTATAAACTAACAAAGTCGGAATCAGAATCAACTGTGAGCGTCATGAAGGATCTCATGCCAAGGGACTGGGAAATGCTTAGATTTTGAAAGTCTGATATATCAAACCACCTGGGTATCACTATCAGGTATACATTCTTTATAATTCTCATTGTTCAGAAACCAGACTGGGCATAGAACCGAAAAAGGGAGAGGTTCATGGGTCAAAGGTTCAACAATGGTTAAACTGGAGGTTGAACTGTAATAATGTGGGATATGTGGGGGATAGATGGCTAATTTAGTTTTTAAAATAAATGATCAGGGTAACTCACATTTTCTTTAACATACATGTGTATTAAAGCAATATGTACGCTAAAGAGGCAGAAATAAATGTAAATGAAGAGATGGATTAATGATAACAAGACGATATACATAAACAAGAGGTCTAGGGTTGAAGTCTTGTCATTACCTTTGAAGTTTCTATTCATGTTGTGACCCAGGCGGTTTCATAAAACTGGGACCAGTTCACCGGTTTTCCAGTTAAATTGGCTGTTCAGCTGGTTTTCAAGGTATGACCAAACCAGCCAGGGAGCCAGTCACGGTTCAACCAGTTATTAACTTACTCCACGAACTGCCCAAATGTTAGAGCCGCTATGTTAAAAAAATTCTGACTAGTTTATTAACCCCATGATGGAGATCTAGTAGCTACTGTTAACTTCTGTATTGCAGTGAATTTGTTAAAATATGCAAACTTTTATTTATTTTGCTTCAAATCAAAAGACGACAATTAATTCAAGAAAAGTCACAATATATAAAGCATACAGAGGATAAATAACAAACATAATCAAAATTTACTAAATTCTTGTACACCTGGATTTAAGATATTGAAATGGTTGAATTTCTCTTCTTCAAACATGCTCAAAAAAAAGTAAATAAATTATTCTGAAGCCAAAACAGAAAGCATATAGTTTATGGCATAAAGCTCCAAAATATAGGCACTTATGTCAAAAAGAAGAAGCCCCCATTTCCAAAAAAGACAAAAAATCCTAGGCTGACAAGTTCAAAAGTTGACACGTCAATTTGTTAATATCTTCTTCCCCAAAAAATAGTGTTTTTGCAGAGTCACCTCATTTGTTCTTTAACTTCTGAGGACTTTCTAGCACCTTGGGTCACCTGGTGCTTTAACTACACAGTTCAAGCACCTCAACCTCTACAACTTCAATGATCAATCCATAAAAGTGAAACTAATTCAACATTTATTTCCAAATTCCACTTTCATAGTTTTATGTTTTAACTCTCCAAAAAGTGGCATAGATCAGATGGAAATGATCAACTGAATAGACCATCTTTCAGCTAGAATTATTAGTCAGATCCCTAAAATGGTATACCTTAACCTGCAAATCAAATAAGAGTGCTCTTTCTAATCAGTATTAGAGAAAGTTCATTAAGAATTAACTGTAAGCAATAGAGAACACAACCCAAGATATTCTAAAAGAACTAAGTGATGGAATCATATTCCTCATATACAATGGAAGTACATTGTTACTCACAAGGTTTCAAATGAGAACAACTAAGGCAACCAAGGTTAAGCAATGCAGAACCACTGAAATAAGCAGTCATGCCTTTTAACTTGCCTCCAACATAGTTCTCCTCAATCTGCATGGTTTGAATCAGTTATACAGAGTACGAAATTCATATAGGGAAAAGAGAAGGACAGAAAGCATATGTTTGATAAAAAACACTTTGAAATGGTCAGACAAATCAAAAGAGTTATGGAATCCATTATGTATGTAACCCATGAGAGGTTATAGCAGGTTCTATCATTCTACAAATAAAAAAGAACAGACACCATAATATAAAGAAGATGGCAAACCATATGGGACCATGCCATACCACCCCAGTTTAACCAGAAGAGAAACCAGGCTAATATAATAATATCATCAAAAATATATTAAATAGAGACCTATACAAACTTTGTATGGACTCCTTAGGCTCCAGGCTAAGGGCTCAAAGACAAAGGCAAGTTTAGATGGTTCAATCTGGTTTTCATGTGGGTTTGATTCCCAAGCTAAGCTTTCTTGCCATATTTCCAGGTTTACCAGTTAACTAGTCACTCAGGTTCTAATAGTACATTATTTTGAAAGTAAGACAATGATCCATCCAGAAAACAAGAAATACCTCAATATTTAAAGGAGGTGAAGATAACCAAGAGAGTTCTTCCACTTGGTGTATGTCCACATTACGAGGTAAGAACATGGTAATATTAGGTGTTATTTTTTGAGCTGCTTGAAAAATAGAATACCTGAGCGTAAACCAAAATTAGTATCAGAAATGACAATTTAATGTCACAAATCAACAGATAACTAATAAATCAACTTCCACTTTGACATGAACCTAACATTGGAAGAGCCTTTAGGCAACCAACTGCTGCTCTGTGTAAAGATAAATCTGCACTATTCTTCTATTGAATTTAGATTCATATAAATCTTATGTCAGTTGTCAAAATTTCTGTGGATCTCTCTCTCTCTCTCTCTCTCTCTCTCTCTCTCTCTCTCCTATCCCTCACCCCCCCTTCCCCCATTCCTTTTGGGTGTTTTAAAACACCTTAAAGTTACTTCTGCTTTATTTATTTATTTTTGATAAGTTCACTTTTGCTTTAATTTGAGTAGGGGTAAGTGGGTAACCATAATGGTAATCAGGCCAGCAGGCCTAGAGCCTCTAGTCCATAAACGAAGAGATGTGCCCACAGAGCATTTTCTTTTGTTATCAAAAAAAAAAAAGAGAGCATTTTCTTTTAGTGTACCACCCCCAAGGGTATTCAGCATAGCCCATTTCCAGCTTGGCATACAGCTTATAAGAATCCATTTCTTATAGATAATGGGTAGTTCTACTACATGCATTGATAAAAAAATTTTATTAAATATATATAATAAGTAAAACATATTTAGCAGAAGAGCCATGCACAGAGATAACAATTGATACAGAAACTACACGTCCCAATCTCCCAAAAACAAAATAATCATACCACATCAATTAGCTACTTATGATAACCCTCTTCATTCCTTGAATTCTTTTAAATCACTGCCTAGTCCATAATGTAAGAAAATACATCTCTGCATCTTCTATATATGGTCTTATCTGGACCACAATGGATCCCACAGAACTTTCAGAAAATCTTTTATTATATATTTCTTATTTTATAATCTTTTTATGTTGATTGGTTTCTTGCTTTATGCATCATAAGTAGGTTACCTGATGGTTTATTTAATTCTATCAGAAAATAAAGTTGATGTGGGAGAAATGAAGTCAAAACTGGATTTTCATGTATTTTTGTACATTTAGAAAATACATATATTTTGGTCATTTTATATATTATGGGGTCCAGCCATGTATTTTGATTTCTCTAGTTATAAATCACAACAAATTGTGTTTAGAAATTAATAATAACCCACAAAAATTTTAGGTCTTACCTAATTTTCTTCTGAATCAAAGTATGAGTAGCAATTTTGTAATTTCTATTTCCTTAGTTCTAGTAAGGTGATGAACCCCTTAGATGGGCATCTCGCCTAAACACCTTGACTTGTGGTAACAAGACTCCTGTCTAGACAATGTGCCCACCTAAGCACCAAGGTGCCTGCCTAGGTAATAAAAAAAAATCAAAAGACAGAAGCTTTATTATAATATCATTGCTATGTCTACCTCTTACTAATGTATGTTAATATATTCTATTATATAGTATAAATATTATTTATACTTTTTCTCAAAGCTTTACTATTGAAATTTAAAAGATCCAAGGGTTTTGAGAAAAGAAAAGGAAAGAAAAAGAGAAGGTTAAAGAGGTTTCTTTTTCTTTTTTCCATTCTTTCTTACATCAGATGAAACAGCAGCTTCACTCTTGTTCTTGTTCTATGCTGCAGACATTAGAGAAAATCTGTAAAAACTTTCTTTGAGATGGCCCCGAAGGTAGAAAATGCATGCATCTTGTGGCCTAGAACCTGGTATGTTTTCCAAAAGCCAAAGGTGGGTTGTATATTAGACCTCTAAAAGCAGTTAACAATGCATTACTGGGTCAGTGGCTTTGGAGATATGAATCAGAAAAGGATGCTCTATGGAGGGAGGAAATTCAAGGAAAATACAGGGATGATTGCAAAGATTGAGCCACAAGAGAGGCCCATTTATCTTATGTGGTTAGCCATAGCAAAGCTGAAACAGCTTTTCTAGGATAACATAAGTCAGGAAATGGGGAACAAATAGCAATCTGGAAAGACCCATGGCTGAGGGACCAACCCCTATATGAACTCTTCCCATCTTTCTAATTGTTAGCTCCAGACAAAAAATGCCTTAATCAGAGAATATTATGAAGTCTTGGGTAATCAGGTGTGGTGGAACCAAGGTTCCAAATATTGGTTTCATGTATTGTGTAAAGAACACTGATGTGGACCCCACTGATGTGGTCCCCACAGTGTTCGTATGGCAGCAATATTACTGTTAGATATGAAAGTGTTAGTTGGTAGTTATTTCAGCTTTATTATTAGTTATTTCTTATTCTATTTGCCATGTAAGCAATAAGGGCAATTCAGCCCTTTTACAGTTAGCCAATAGTTATAA